CGAGGAGGAGGAGATGAGGAGGTGAGAGGGGAATAACAGCGGGAAAGAACGGGAATAACAGCGGGAAAGAACGGGAATAACAGCGGGAAAATACCGGGAATAAAGCGGGAAAATAACGGGAAAAAACCGGGAAAATAACGGGAAAATACCGGGAATAAAGCGGGAAAATACCGGGAAAAAACCGGGAATAAAGCGGGAAAATACCGGGAATAAACCTGGAAAATACCGGGAATAAAGCGGGAAAATAACGGGAATAAAGCGGGAAAATACCGGGAATAAACCGGGAATTCCGGGATTTTTCTCCCCCTGGGCCCAGGAAATTCTGGGAATTTTCCATCCAGGCACAGAAAAAATTGGGAATTTTGGCTCCCAGATCCATAAAAAGTTGGGAATTTTGGTTCCCAGGATCAGAAAAATTGGGAATTTTGGCTCTCGGGCTCATAAAATCCGGGAATTTTGGCTTCTAGATCCATAAAAATTTGGGAATTTTGGCTTCTGGGTCCTTAAAATTTGGCAATTTTGACCCCAAGGCCCATAAAATTTGGGAATTTTGGCTCTGAGGATCGTAAAAATTGGGAATTTTGGCTCCCAGATCCATAAAAAGTTGGGAATTTCGGCTCCCAGATCCATAAAAATTTGGGAATTTTGGCTCTCAGATCCATAAAAAGTTGGGAATTTTGGCTCCCAGGATCAGAAAATTTGGGAATTTTGGCTCCCAGATCCAAAAAAAATGGGAATTTTGGCTCCCAGATCCATAAAAATTTGGGAATTTTGGCTCTCAGATCCATAAAAAATCGGGAATTTCGGCTTCTTGATCCATAAAAAGTTGGGAATTTTGCCTCCCGGGCATTTTCCCGCCCCCAAAGCCCCGGAATTCCCGGCAGGACGGCGCAGGAGCTGCAGCAGTTGGAGAATCCTGAGGAATTCCCGGAGCGGGAGCAGCCCTGGGAATTGATCATGGAACGGGAACATTTCCGGCTCTGGCGCCGCCCCATCCCGGGATCCACGCTCTTCCAGTACCGAGGTGAGGGAGGGATTCCCGGGAAAACAACGGGAAAAACAGCGGGAAAAACAGCGGGAATTCCCGGGAAAACAAGGGGAAAAACAGCGGGAATTCCCGGGAAAACAACGGGAAAAACAACGGGAATTACCGGGAAAACAATGGGGAAAACAACGGGAATTCCCGGGAAAACAAAGGGAAAAACAACGGGAATTCCCGGGAAAACAAGGGGAGGAATGGCGGGAAAAACAGCGGGAATTCCCAGGAAAACAAGGGGAAAAATGGGAAAAACAACGGGAATTCCGGGGGAAAAAAATGGGAAAAATTATGGGAAAAATGGGAAAAAACAACAGGAAAAATGGGAAAAACTGGGGAAAATAATGGGAAAAATAATGGGAAAAATGGGAAAAACAACGGGAATTCCCGGAAAAACAAGGGGAAAAGTGGGAAAAACAAGGGGAAAAATAATGGGAGAAAGAGCAGAAAAAATAACGAGAATTCCTGGAAAAACAATGGGAAAAACAGCGGGAATTCCTGGGATTTTGGGAATTTTGGGATCCGTTGATTCCTGGGACTTTTGGTTTTCCCGGGATTTTGGATTCCCGGGATTTTGGATTCCCGGAATTTTTTTGATTCCCGGAATTTTGGATTTCTGGGATTCTTGGATTCCCGGGATTTTGCTTTTTCCGGGATTTTGGATTCCCAGGATTTTGGATTCCCAGGATTTTGGATTCCCAGGATTTTGGATTCCTGGGATTTTGGATTCCCAGGATTTTGCTTTTCCCGGAATTTGCTGATTTTCAGGATTTTGGTTTTCTGGGATTCTTGGATTCCCGGAATTTTGGATTCCCGGGATTTGCTGATTTTCGGGATTTTGCTTTCCCGGAATTTTGGTTTCCCGGGATTTTGGATTCCCAGGATTTTGGATTTCCCAGGATTTTGCTTTTCCTGGAATTTTGGATTTCCCGGAATTTTGGATTCCCGGAATTTATTGGATTCCCAGGATTTTGCTTTTCCCGGGATTTTGGATTCCCAGGATTTTGGACTCCCGGGCTTTGCTGATGGATTCCCGGAATTTTTTGGATTCCCGGGATTTTGGATTCCCAGGATTTTGCTTTTCCCGGGATTTGCTGATTTTCGGGATTTTGGTTTTCCCGGAATTTTGGATTCCCGGGATTTTGGATTCCCGGGATTTTTTGGATTCCCGGGATTTTGGATTCCCGGGCTTTGCTGATTTTCGGGATTTGGGTTTTCCCGGGATTTTTGCTTTTCCTGGGATTTTTGATTCCCGGAATTTTTTGGATTCCCAGGATTTTGCTTTTCCCGGAATTTCAGTTTCCCGGGATTTTGGATTCCCGGGATTTTGGATTCCCGGGATTTTGGACTCCCGGGCTTTGCTGATTTTCGGGAATTCTCTCCGCAGTTTTCGGCTCCTACACCGACGTCACTCCCCGGCAATTCTTCAACGTCCAGGTGAGCCCAAATCCCGGGAATTCCTCGGGAATCCTCAGAATTCCGGGCGGGATTCGGCTCCGGGAGCCCCTTCCGGACCCCAAATCTTCGGGAATTCCCACTGGAATCCAAGGAAAACCCGGAAAATTCCCAATCCCGGATTTTTCCCGACCGTTCCTGGAAATTCCGGGGTTTTTCTCCATCCCGGTTTTTTCCCCATCCTGCTTTTCCTTGGAATTCTGGGAATTTCCTGCTGGTTCCCCATCCCGGTTTTCCCGGGAATTCCGGGGTTTCCTGATCCTGATTTTCCCGGGAATTCTGGAGTTTCCTGATTTTCCCGGGAATTCCGGCATTTCCTGATCCTGATTTTCCCGGGAATTTCAGGGTTTTCCCGCTCTCCTGATCCCGTTTTTTCCCGGAATTCCGGGATGTTCCTGATTCCGTTTTTCCCCGGAATTCCGGGATTTTCCCGCCGTCCCTGATCCCGTTCTCCCCGGAATTCCGGGATGTTCCCACCATCCCTGATCCCGTTTTTCCTGGGATGTTCCCGCCGTCCCTGATCCTGTTTTTTCCCCCCAGAATTCCGGGATTTTCCCACTCTCCTGATCCCGTTTTTCCCCTGGAATTCCGGGATGTTCCTGATCCCGTTTTTCCCCCGGAATTCCGGGATGTTCCCACTCTCCCGATCCTGTTTTTCCCCGGAATTCCGGGATTTTCCGGCCGTCCCTGATCCCGTTTCCCCCGGAATTCCGGGATGTTCCCACTCTCCCGATCCCGTTTTTCCCGGAATTCCGGGATTTTCCGGCTGTTCCTGATCCCGTTCCTCCCGGAATTCCGGGCTGTTCCTGATCCCGTTTCCCCCGGAATTCCGGGATGTTCCGGGCTGTTCCTGATCCCGTTTTTCCCGGAATTCCGGGCTGTTCCTGATCCCGTTTTCCCCGGAATTCCGGGCTGTTCCGGCTGTTCCTGATCCCGTTTTTCCCGGAATTCCGGGCTGTTCCGGCTGCTGCAGCTGGACACGGAGTACCGGAAGAAGTGGGACTCGCTGGTGCTGAAGCTGGACGTGGTGGAGCGGGATCCGGCCTCGGGATCCGAGGTGATCCACTGGGTCACGCAGTTCCCGGTGAGGCGGGAGCGGGAATCCGGGATCGGGATCCGGGAATCTGGGATCGGGAATGGGATCTGGGAATGGGATCTGGGACCGGGAATGGGATCTGGGAATCTGGGAATGGGATCCGGAAATCTGGGATCGGGAATCTGGGATCGGGAATCTGGGAATGGGATCTGGGAATGGGATCTGGGAGCTGGATTTTGGGATCAGGATGGGATCTGGGCTCTGAGGTTGGGATTTGGGATCAGGATCCGGGATGGGGATCTGGGATCAGGGATTTGGGATCAGGATCTGGGATGGGGATCTGGGATTTGAGGTCTGGATTTGGGATCCGGGATCAGGATCTGGGATCAGGATTTGGGATCAGGATTTGGGATCAGGATTTGGGATCGGGATCTGGGATTGGGATCAGGATCTGGGATCGGGATCTGGGATCAGGATTTGGGATCTGGGATGGGGATCTGGGATCAGGATCTGGGATCAGGATTTGGGATCGGGATCCGGGATCGGGATCTGGGATCAGGGATCGGGGATCTGGGATTGGGGATTTGGGATCCGGGATCAGGATCGGGGATCTGGGATCTGGGATCTGTTCTCGTGTCTCTGAGGCGCTGCCCCCCCGCAGTATCCGATGTATTCCCGGGATTACGTTTACGTCCGGCGCTACAGCGTCGACAGCGACCGCAACCTCATGGTGCTCGTGTCCCGGTGCGGCGTTCCCGGAAATCCTCCCCGGCATTCCCGGAAATCCTCCCTGGCATTCCCAAAAATCCCCCCCAGCGTGCCCGAAAATCCTCCCGGCGTTCCCAAAAATCCTCCCGGCATTCCCAAAAATCCTCCCGGCATTCCTGGAAATCCTCCCCCGGCATTCCCAAAAATCCCTGGCATTCCCAAAAAATCAACCCCAGCATTCCCAAAAATCCCCCCCGGCATTCCCAAAAATCCCACCCGGCATTCCCAAAAATCCCCGGCGTTCCCAAAAATCCCCCACCAGGAATCCTGGAAAATCCCTGACATTCCTAAAAAATCAACCCCAGCATTCCCAAAAATCCCCCATGGAATTCCCAAAAAAACCCCCCTGGGATTCCCAAAAAAAACCCCACAGAATTCCCAAAAAAATCCTTGGAATTCCCCAAAAAAAAACCCCCAAAAAATCTCCTCCCATGGAAAAAAATCCGTAAATTCCCAAAAAAAATCCCTCAGAATTCCCAAAACCTCTGGAATTTTCTAAAATAACCCCTGGAATTCCCAAAAAAAAAAATCCCCAAAAAAATTCCCCCAAAAAATTCCTCAAAAATCCCCCCTGGAATTCCCAGAATTCCCGGAATTCCCGGAATTCCCGCGGGGAATTTTATTTTTTTTTCCCTTCTTCCGGGAATTTTTCCCATTCCCGAATTCCCGCAGGGCCGTGGAACATCCCGGAATTCCCGAGGATCCCGAGCACGTGCGGGTGCGCAGCTACGAATCGCACATGGTGATCCGGCCGCACCGGGGCTTCGATGAGGTGGGGAAAAAAGGGGAAAAAATGGGAAAATCCCGGGAAAATCGTGGGGAAAAAACCGGGAAAAAACCGGGAAAAAAAACGGGAAAAAACGGGAAAATCCCGGGAAAAAACGGGAAAATCATGGGGAAAAAACCGGGAAAAAAACGGGAAAAACCGGGAAAAAACAGGAAAAAAACCGGGAAAAAACTGGGAAAAAACGGGAAAAAAACCGGGAAAATCCCGGGAAAAAACGGGAAAAAACGGGGAAAAAAACGGGAAAAAAATGGGAAAAAAATGGGAAAAAATACAGGAAAATCCCGGGAAAAAACGGGAAAAAAACCCGGGAAAATCCCGGGAAAATCGTGGGGAAAAAAGCGGGAAAAAAACTGGGAAAAACGGGAAAATCCCGGGAAAAAACTGGGGAAAATCCCGGGAAAATCGTGGGGAAAAAACGGGAAAAAAAAACGGGGAAAAAACGGGGAAAAAATGGGAAAATCCTGGAAAAAAAAGGGGAAAATCCCGGGAAAATAATGGGAAAAAAACAGGAAAATCATGGGAAAAATCCCGGAAAAAAATCTGGGAAATCCCGGGAAAATCCCTGGAAAATCCTGGGAAAAACCGGGAAATCCTGGGAAAATCTGGGAAAAATCCGGGAAAATGATGGGAAAAAAATGGGAAAA